TTTTTTTCTTTAAATCCCTCTGCTGTACTTTGTCTTTCTTGCAAACAGATCAAGCTCAGTGGCGTTTGGGTTTCAAAAGCCTGTTTCCAAGAATGAAAGAGGTTAAAATAAAATTTAAAAGAATTTTCAGCAGAGGATCAAGTCAAATAGCGAATTCTGTGAAAAGTCCCCTTATTCCTATATTTGACACGTCAGAAGTGTGCTTTCAGAAGCCACCTGCAGTTTGCCTGTCAAAATTTCAGAGCCTCGCTTTGGCAATTGGGGGCCCAACCTTATGGGAGAGGATTGGGCCGTGGGTAACTGCGCCCCATGAAATAATTCTCCATTGCCTTCATTAGGCATTGGAACCGTTCCTAGAAGAAACGCGCTCCCACTATGCGTAGCCTAAAACTGTCAAAGGAAAGGTAGCAGGTCAAATCTAGCCCCAAAGGTAGGTTTGCTGAAACAGATCTGAGAGAACGGAAGACTGCTGGAAATGTGTCACTGATTTATGAAGAGAACTCCCCCTGGGAAAAGTTTAGCTAATGGGATTTCCCACCTGCAATTTGCGAATATTTCAGTGCGGTAGCTGGAAAGTTTCATTCCTCTCGTCTACTCCCCCATCTCCCTTTTCTAGCATTGCCCCCAGAGCCTCCTCCTCCATGAGATCCCTGTTCCAGTCGGGTCCTTCTGGCCTAAGGTGTCCGGTGGCCTGCGGCCCTTCCCACATACTCCTGAAATCTTTGTGGGGTGGTCAGCTTGTCTGTTACCCTATCCTGAGACCTGCTGTTGGCTAGTTCCCCCAGTGCCCTGTTTTGGGGTCTGTCAAGTGCAGTTAGCCTGTAGCTTGCAGTTCAAAGGAGGCCTTCTGGGGCATGGATAGCTTGCTCCTCATCCATCCTGATGCAGTGTTTGGCCTTTAGTTTGAATCCAAACTTGGCTTATGGCAAGTGAGGTGTCTCTGTGATGTACCCGCTGGCGCGGTGCGTTCTGGAAAAACACGGACCTCTGTGATATCTGTCACTGCAGGCGGCGTGTGTGTGAAGTCAAAGCCGATGTGTCTGTGAGGTCACTAGCTTAGCAGCTTTAGAGTGCTGGGCTGATGTGCGAACTCACGAGGGTCAGAGGCTCAGGACCCCTCGCTTGCTGACAGGATGGGCGTGTCCGAGGCTGCAAATGCCACACCTCGGCCGAGCGGCTCCGACGTCCTGCCACAGGCCAGTGGAAGGGACGAGTGACTCAGGGTGTCTGGCTGGCTGGGCTGATTTCAAGGCACGGATCCTGCTGAGGTCACTGAAGCTGCGGCCTGGTGTGCTGGGTGACATGGAGCTTTGTGACATCCGTGGCTCGATTTCTTTTCTATAGGATCTTCGTGCCCCTCCCCGTCTCTCTGCTAAGGAGAGCCACGAGAGGAGACGGGACCGACAGGACCATTCTGTTGTCCCTGGATTCTCACGAGGGGAAGGGAGGCTGCTTTTTCTCTGGGGGTATGTTGCCCCTGCTCCCTCACCAGACCACCCAGGGGAGGATTAGAGCTAAGTGAGGGACTCCTGGGGCTGTGGAACGTGCCTGCAATCTCCATGGGGGGGGAGAGCCCCGTGCCAGGGTCTTGGGAGTGGCCCTAACTACAAGTCTGTGTGTGGGAGGAGCTGTGTGCCTGGGTTGTCACCACGCGAGCACCCGTCCGCGACCACCACCTGCAAACGCCGTGGAGTTCGCGATGCCGTGAATGAAATGACGGCCAGATTCTCGAAGGTGAAACGGCCCCCTTCCCACGGCCCCCTTCCCACAGCCCCCCTCCCACCCCCTCTCCAAGTCAGCTGCCTCCGTCTGTAGCCACGTTGGTGCTTTTGTGCCTCCTGCGACTCTGCTGATTTATATAGATCATCAATATGACAATTATATTCACCTGCAGATGTAATTACCTCGGTTTGCGCGAGACAACGACAGATTTATGTCTTTATTCAATTCCTGTAAATCTGAAACCGGCCTGATTAGACCTAAAAGTCCTTTACACGGATCAATCTTTGAACACTGCTGGTCTCTGGCCTTTTGACAAGTTCTTCCTTCGAGAGAGAAATGATAAAGGCACACGGTCGATTTTCCTCGCTCCTCTTTCTTTTTTTACTCTCCATTATCTTTAATGTCTTCCCACAAACTTCAGCGTGGTGCTCCATTTTCCTAGGGACGTCGGAGTTGTTTGGATCACACCATGGGAACACAAGGCCGGCGGCCTGTCTCTAGAGCTACTAACTACTCTAGAGCAGCCTCTCTCAACCAGAGTACGCGTACCCCCTCCGAAGTCTTCCGCGGGGATACGTCAGCTCATTTAGTTATTTGCCTAGTTTTACAACAGGCCACATAAAAAATCACTGGCCAAGTCAGCACAAACTAAAATTGTATACGATGGCTTGTTTATATTGCCCTATGTACTATACACTGAAATGTACGTAGAATATTTCTATAAAGTGTATGGTAAAAATGAGAGAGTCGGCAAATTTTCAGTAATAGTTTTGTTAAGGCTGTTCCCCACTTTGGCACTTCAAGTGCAGGAGTAGGGGCCTGCAAGAGACCTTAACGTACCTGACCACGAAAGGCTCCCTTACCTCGAGGGCCACCAGCCAAATGCAAAACCCCCTTGAAAGCCCAGGAAAAGACACTTGGGAATTTCTTCCTGTGGGGTAACCCCAAGCTCTTTAACCCTTCTTCAGTACAGAGCTTGAAAACAATCTGTAATTTCTTAATACTGACTTTCAGTCTCAGGCACGTGTAAACAGAACCTCCTGCCTTCTAGGACACAGGAAGTAGCTCGTGGTGATTCACCATGGATGCCTCGGTAACCCTGGAAAGTGTCACATCTGCCCTTAGGCAAAGATTCCTCCAGTATTTAGGAGCTGGCTGTTGCCCTTAAACAGGAGGGTTTATATCCCTTCCCAATCTCTGACTATTTGAAAGAATTTGCTGTGACGATTCTGGATATTTGAATTAGTCGTGTAAATGTCTGATCTCTGTTTGAGTCCTGCTAAGCTCTTGGCTGCATTGGTATCCTGTGGCAATGAGTTCCACAGGCTAATTGTGTTTGTGGCTGGGCAGCGTCTTTCCTTCTTTCCGTTTTGAATTTGTCATCTTTTGTATTTGGAACCTTTCGGTTCCACTGAACTTTCCCTTCTTCTTGGACCACAACCCAGGGAGAACAGAAGACCCTGCCTTACTGTTCACCAGCCCTGCTTCTTCCTGACTCTGCCACTGACCTACTGTATAACCTTGGGGAAGGTCACTTCACTTCATTTCTGTGCTTCACTTTCTTTACCCAGCCTCTCTCTTCTGTTTAGATTGTAAGTTTGTTAGGGTAGGTACCGGTTCTTGCCCTGTGTTTGTACAGTGCCTAGTATAATGACACCCTAATCTTTATTGGGGTTTCAAGGCTCCACTGTAAGACCAGTACTAATCAAATATATCCCAGTGGCCCAACCCGCCATATCTTCCTGGCGTTATCAGAGCACTCCTAGTGAACGTCTCCTCAACTGTCCATCCTGTTTCTCTTCCTAGTAGAGGAGCAGCACGTGGCCAGCTGCTGAAACTGAAGAATTGGTGTTGAGGACATGGATGGTGGTGAGAAATCCCGGATGTTTGATAGAACCTCCTGAGCGCTAAATTCACACTTCAATTTTCATCTGTGTCTTAATGTCAAATACTCATCCCTAAAATGCACTCGTGGGCCTTGTTGTTTCACCGGAACCTGTGCTTCCCAAGATGTTCAGCTTTTTCTGTGTGGAGCAGAAGATTCCTGCATCACATCTACCCTCTAATCTGAGTTTTTTCCTCAACACACGGGCAGATAAGCCCAAGGTGAACTTCTAGCAGAGAAAGCATTCTCGCCAGTGGTTAGATGAACAATCAACCATCCTCATTGTATGCGGTAAGGAGGCGAATGCTAAAATAATCTCTAATTCTCTTGCCCTCTTGGCCCCCATCATAATGAGCACTTAAACAAATTAGTCTGCAGGAGTGGGCTGAAGTTTACCCTTGAAGTGTAGTCCATCTCATCTCTATAATGCATTTCCCCTCCTGCTTTCCATCCCACCACCATCCCGGACTGGCTTTGCCTTTGCGATCTGCTCAGATGTCTTGCTAAGTGCCTGGCAGATGGTTTAGATCGCCGGTCATTACTTTGACTGTCAGCCTTTAACAGTTATAAATAGCCATTTGCCTTCTTTGAAACTCTCTGGCTGACGTAAAAGAAAGCCAGTGGTGGCTCACCGTGCTCCTATCCCTATGTTTCTATGGCTTTCAAATGATTTGGGGATGGAAGGAGGGCAGGGAGTGTGGGATGGAAAGCAAAAGAAGATCTTAAGGGCAAAAAAGCACCATTTCTCATTTCCCTGGCTGTCCACATCGGGGGTAATGCAGAGGCAGGATGCTACCTTAGTGACGGGAAGAGCAGGAGCCCACGGAATCATGGCGGAGTAGCCAAAATGGCTATTGAAAGTTATTGAGCTCCAATGTGTTTCCAGCCACCCCCCGTTGGACAAAGAAACTTGCTGTGCATTGGGGTCTTGCAGGAATGTGGAGGTCAGGGAAGGTCCTCCTGAGATTTGAAAATAGAGAAGAAAAACGTGGCAGGTGAGGAGAGTGGAGAATAGGAACGAGACGGGTGAAATACCCTCGGAAGGTTTGGAGTGTCAGTCACGGTGTGTCATTGGTGAACTGAAAGGTCCGTTTCATGGTTCCGTCGCCTGCTGTTCCATTGGCCTTTTTCTTTTAAATTAGCGATGGGCCTCAGCCAACAAGTTCTGATCCAGATCAGAACTTCCCTCGAATTTGGATCAAGGTTGGGGCTGGAGATTTTAGAGTAGGTCCATTTTTTTTTTTTTATTTTAAAACCTTCCCAAAATATTTCCATCTGTGATCCAGGAATCGTAACTGGAAAAGGCGAGCTCTCTCCATGGCGAAGGTCTGCTTTGGGTGACGGAAGACAGAGTGGAGTGGCTTCGCAGAGCACAATCGTATTGAGTAGAAGTTGAACTACCATCGAAATGCTCAGTATGTGTGTGTGGGGCCACAGACGGCCAAGAGCAGTAAAAGTGATTTTTGACTACCCAGTTTGAGACGCCCTGAAAATCCTGGTTTTTGAAAGAGGGGATGTAACAGGATGACTTGCTGTTGGGTGATGGACCTGGGGCTGGCTCTTGATCGCAAAATAAGCAGCAGAAAGGCTAACAGGAAGCTGGGAGATGCTCAGGAAGCTGTGGGAATGCGGGAATGAGCTGTGGGAATGAGGGTTTGCGGCTCCCTTCTGAGAACAAAAATTACTGCGTGAACCCAGGAGAGGGGATCGAAGCTTGAGCTCACCAGCAATCCACACCCATGTGTGGAGGGGCAAAGTTGAACCACAGGAACTTCAGCATCAATCAGTCCCGCCATCCACAGCTGAAGTTGAAGCCCAGTCTCGTTGCTGAGGACTGAAGACTTTGGGTGTCGGGACTCAAGGTTCCAAAAATATTTCCGTATCACGTGTGGGACATGCAGGTTGACAATTAATTTAAACTCAGTCAAGTTTTAAGTTGGTGATGCCGGATGCAGCATGCTGACGTGAATGCGTTTCACTCTTTGTTCTGCCCATGCGATATTCCAAAGATTAGTTATGCAGCATTTTGAGGGGTTACAATCCACTGACGTTTTAATTTGTGGTACCCTGGGAAGGGATCTGTTATAGGACACAATAAAAAGTTTAGGCATAGAGAAAGAGAGGACCGAGGACTTTGCACTGTAGGTTAAATTTCTGATCCAAAACTTAGCTCAGTTTAAGACAGGTTTGATTGCAGAGCTAATGAAACTAAAAGACTGAATTGAAGTGCTCCCTGCCGAGTGTAAAATGAATCTACAGAGATTTATGGCGCTTTCTAGCATTTTTCCCAGATCTATCTTTGAATGACTTGAGACTTCTATTGATATAGGACTCATGGGCATTTTTGTGGACTTTCAAAATGTTGAAAAGCAATAAAACAGTTGTTGATGAGATTATTTTTGCTGAAAAATCGGTGCTGTTTTTAAACTAGCTCAACCGGTAAAAGGAGAAAAGGTGAAAGTGAGATTCCTCTAGGAACAAATCAGGGAGGCTGGAAGCATTGGGCGGCTGGCAGTAGTTTGTTGGGTGGAAGCGTTAGTTGTATTGAATGTACCTTGATTGTCTCTGATGGGTATGTCTCACCTCCTCTTAAAAGCCTCCAGCGAAGGGGATTCCACAACCTCCCTTCGTAACCTGTGCTTAATTATCCTTAGTTAGAAAGGTTTTTTGGTCCTTGACGGTCCTAATGTACGTGCTTTATCGGACGTGGCAAAGTGGTACAGGCCTTGCTTCTGGTCGCCTCACAGCCCTTCTGTGCTGCTCTTAGTTTGGTGGAAACCCGTTTGTCTTTTAGGGAGGCTCAACTAGGGAAGGAAGAGGATGCTGGTTGGAGTCCTTCTGTCTGTGCTTCCCCTGTTCGTTCAACACCTCTCTCTCTGACGCTACTTGTTACTTGTTCCCAAAAATTCTGCTGTCCCGCTGGTCAGTGCTTACGTTTTCCTTGACTTCACTAGGACCAGGAGTGTGTCAGTTCAACAGAAGAGTCTCTTCCGCGGTGCTGGGTGCATGAATTCGAAGGAGAAGAGAAACGCGAGGGACGTAGCAAGCTGGGAGGAATGCTTAGCCACCGGGAGAGGCCTCGTTAACACTGTGTCCACGGAGGCTCTGGGAGGAGCCGCAAGGGCCTGATCTCAGAGTCCCCGCCGACGCTAGTGGGCAGTGCTCATGCAGGCGCTGCTGTAGCTGGGCCCCGGTGCGTGGGTTGCTGGTCTCTCCAGGCAGCGCCCCAGGGGTGTGTGACAGGAGCTGAGAGAGGGCGGCAAGGCTGCAGCGGCCATCCGGCAGGACGGCTGTCCCTGGGGGACTTGCAGCCGTCGACCAGGGCTCTTCCCGGGGCTGGCGGTGTCTCCGGGGCTGCTCCTGCTCATTGCGATGGATGAGGCGAGCTGCTCATACATATTTTAGAGTTTAAATATTATCACATTTTATTTGATGTCACATGTAGTTAAAGCCGCGCTGTTCCTGCGATTAGCGGAGGTCGCTAGGGTAACTGAGCAGTAATGAGCTAGGTGAGCTGCCTTCTCAGCGGGGATAAATCAAAGGCGCTCCCGTCACTTAAACGTGGATCTTCCTCTCTCTACCCTTGCTCCTCTCCTCGCCTTCCTTCCTCTCCCCTTCCCGCTCCCTTCGCCCCACCTCCTTTCTGTCCCCTTGTTTCTCCCTTCACTCGTCGTTTGAGCAGTAATCCGCCACGGCCAGTCTGTGTATGGGGAGGGGGTTGGGATTGCTGTACGTGGTCATCTTTGAGATCAAGCTAACGCTTGGCAGGATAATTAGTGGCCTCCCCTGCTGTGATTAACTCTTGGCTCAGGCAGGCTATTTTTTAACGTCCGTGTTAGAAGTTAATACCCGGGCTAATAGCTTCACTTCCAAGGCCTACTGGAAGCCACACAGAGATCGGGCCTGCCATCAATATCTTTCAAGTGTTCATTACTCCTTCCCGATTCAGTGGGTTTTCAGCTGCTTTCCTACCACACCTTGACTCTGCCCGCCCGTTGTAAGGCATCGTGGGGCCAGCTGGCGTGAGCAGGTGCAGCTCCGCTTATTTCACACCAGCTGCGGGTCCGGCCCCTGTAGAACCCTCCTACCTTCGTTACCAGCTCTCCCCTTCCCATGGTACATGGAGCCATGGTCTAGGACACAGGTGGGGAGCCTCAGGCCCACGGGTCAGATGCCGTCCCCGGCTTGGCTGGATCTGGCCCCCGGGACTCAGGGCTCCTCCCCTTAGCATTGGGGAGTCCAGCCTCTGCTGTCCCCCACCCAGACTGATTTTCCTGTGGCCCCCAACACAAGCTTTCCCACCCCTGCTCTAGGAGATCACTTCATCCCAGGCTGGCAGCTGCTTGCACAAAGCCGTGGATGAAGGAAGAGAAGAAAGATGATATTTGAATAAGGCCAGAGAAGAGTGGCGGGTGGTCAGTGATGTCGAGCACATAAACCCCTTCTTAATCCGAGCAGATCATCTGGTTTGGATACTCCGCAGTGTTGGAACCAAAGCCAAGATGAACCTTGTGAGAGCACTGAACAAATTCAATGCACTCTCCCCCCTTCCCCACACACATTATTTTCACATGGAGGATCAATGGGGTTGGGGGCAGGTTGAAACATACCAGTTAGACCCCAGCACTTGTGAGGAGACACAGCCAGCAGACCTGGCAACCCCTGCTGAAAAGGAGCAAAGTATTTTTTTACTAAGAGCAGGATCACCTAGAATATCCCTGCACCTAGGAAAGTCCTGATGTGTGCTTAGTGAGAGAGACAAGTCAGTAGCGTGGACAGGCACTAGCTTAGGTCGTTGGATCAGACTGGAGAGGTGTCTCCGAGCATGTAACGTTCTTGTTCCCGAGTATTTTACTTTTGGCATGCTTCTGTGTGAAGCCAATGGAAGAGAATCTGGCTGTGTCTAGACTGCATCCCTTTTCTGTAAAAGTGATGCAAATTAGACACATCGCAATTGCAAATGAAGCGGGGATTTAAATCCCCGCTTCATTTGCATAAACAGGGCTGCCGCTTTTTTCCGGCTCGGAGCTTTGCCGGAAAAAAGCACCAGTCTAGACGGGGATCTTTCGGAAAAGGCTTTATTTTCCGAAAGATCCCCGTCTAGACTGGTGCTTTTTTCCGGCAAAGCTCCGAGCCGGAAAAAAGCGGCAGCCCTGTTTATGCAAATGAAGCGGGGATTTAAATCCCCGCTTCATTTGCAATTGCGATGTGTCTAATTTGCATCCCTTTTACCGAAAAGGGATGGAGTCTAGACACAGCCCCTGTGTATGTGTAAATATAAAAAAAATCAATGTTTTTATTTAATTTAATTTTATTTTAATTTAATTTTTTTCTAAAATAAACACATTAAATGTGGAATGCAACTTACTATGTTCTATTAAAAGAGCGGTAGACAATCATTTTCGGGGGGGGACCACTCCACATAAGGGCGGGGCATTGGGCAGAAAGGGCGGGGCTAGGACCTAGAGGGAGAGTGTGAGAGAGACTGACTTTGTGACGCAGACTGTGTGTGTATGGCTTGGGAGAGATTGGGAGAGTGGGTGGGGTGCAGACTGGGTGTGTTACACAGAGAGAGTGTGAGTGTGCACGTGTGTGTGTGCGCGTGCGTGCTCATGGGCCAGCTCTGAGAGGGAAAGCTCTCCTGTTCTGTCTCCTCCCTCTTAGAAGCAGCGCACTTGCCTCTTAAGACAAGGACTCATTATAGTCACTCACCCTGCTACAGACTGGAGCATCTCTGTAGTGTGTGTTCCTCTCTCTGACCCCTACCCTGTAGGGATAGGGTACAGAGGCAGGGGGCTCCCTGCACTCCCCCAGGCCGCCATAGCATTCAGGAGGGTCCTAGGAGTAGCTCGCCTGCAGGACAGAGCAAGGTGGGGGAGAGGCAGCTGAACACACACTGCCAGCTGCTAATCAGCTGGGTAAGCCAGATAGAAACATTGGGCAAGCCAGATCCGGCCTGTGGGTTGCATTTTGCCCAGCCCTGTATTAAAATCTTGTGAGTGATTAAAACAGTGCTGAATCAATGAGCCCTTCTCAAAATGTAATGAGCTAACTCAGGCTGCTTTTAAATTCTATGCAGAATCAGGGGAAAATATCTTTTAACTTTTTGGTCAACTCCAGCTTTACAAATACCGCAATGGCATGCACAATATCCAGTATTGCAGCTCCATTAATTTTCAGTTTTCCAGTGGAGCGAAGGCTGGTATTTACATTTTCCCAAATGTACGGACTTTCAGAATTTTTGTTGTTGCCTGAATTACTTCTGATTTCAGTTTGGTTAGCAGGTGCGAGAGCCACTTTCTTCCGTTTGAATTGGCTGAGGAACTGATTGGGAGTTGAAAAGCAGAAAAGTTTGTTTTTCTCTTCTAATCTATGAATAAAAACCAGGTGGGAGAAGAGAAGTGCTAATAATTCT